TTACATAATCAAATGCCAAATGACATTCTTGGTTTCAACTTAGGAGAATATAATTTCAGGTAAGTCAGCACAATATTGGGCTGCTAACTCCAATTGCCTTTCTTTTCAGCCAAATGACCTACTTTTCTCTGGTATTTAAAGGTCAGGGCATGCTTCTTTAGAGGGTAACTTACACTGTGCAAATCCATGAGAGTGAGTCTTGGAGCGCACCTTCCACTCAGGGACTATGCCAGGTTTTCTTACATCAATTTCCCCAAAGTAATTTGCATACCATCCTCCCAATCTTTGCCATTTCCACATAGCAACACAAGACACTTTCATGATTTGTTAATCATATCTGGTACCACCTGTGCTATTATTTACTTAATATATTTTATTTAAATTAACTCACCTTTTAAATGTTAATATATTTCTTTAGAAAAGAAAACCAGCCCTAACCAGTTTGGCTCAGCGGATAGAGTGTTGGCCTGCGGACTCAAGGGTCCCAGGTTCGATTCCGGTCAAGGGCATGTACCTGGGTTGCGGGCACATCCCCAGTAGGGGGCATGCAAGAGGCAGCTGAATCAATGTTTCTCTCTCATCGATGTTTCTAACTCGCTCTCCCACTCCCTTCCTCTCTGTAATAAAATATTTAAAAAAAAGAAAAGAAAACCATGTCACTGCTGCCACCGACAAAGGGTCACCACCAGCCATGAATGGAGGCAACACAACCCCTGCCTGCTATTTCCCTTTATCTCACTTGTTCCTTTGCTACCGCCTGTTCTGTACTGAATAGACGCTCCATGAGGCCACAGCTTAACCTGTGGTATTCATGGCTGTAGTCCCAGCATTCGTCAGAAACAAGAGGAGCATTGCCTGCACACCTGTTGAGAGAATGCAGGTGCCTACCCTTCCTATCATTCCTCACATCTAAATTTCATGTTTCCATTTTAACCATACCAAGGACCAGCACAGAAAACGTTTTTGATCAAATGAGAGCTGAACAATGCTATTAAATTCTAACTGCAGGTGTCAAAGATTCACTAGAACCAAATCAAAACATTCTCCTTGACTTGGTCAGAACTTAAGAAGAAATGGGCAATAAGGGACTTCCCTATCACATGATTGTTACTCACTGCCATGTTGGTAACACCTAACATAGTCTCTGTTTTCAGCAGAGGTGAGAGTGCAATCCTTTGAGAGATGCTGCCTTGTGGCAAGAAGAGTCCTCTGCTCTATTTCAAAGGAGCTGGACAAAACGATCTGGGTTTTTGAATCCATGAGCATTTCCCTTCTCCATCGCCATGCCTTCCTGATGTTGCTCACCTAAAACATGATTTCAGCTACGTCAGCCTCCACCCCCAATGGTTTCCCATAAGAGGCAGAAACAATGTGGAGCAAATGTAGGCAATATTGTTGAAAACAAATATAAATCCTAAAAACTTTTGATCATATATTCTCCTGGCTTTCTATATTAAAAAACCAGGATATATAGTCTGCTTAAAAATAGCCCGCATGTTGTAAGGAGATTGATAAAATGAAGGATGAGTTAGGGCTACACACACACCATTTTTTCCCAAACAAAAAGTATAATTAACTTATGAACACTGCATTCTTATGTGCAGCTGATCCACCATAACCATGCCAGACAGGGCCCTGGCTCCAAGTGGAGAAACATTGATAAAGGAGGTGAAGGAAAGTTCACCCTCTATTACTGGGTTTGTACGATATAGACCAGCATTTCCAATGAATGCCAATAGGTGTTAGTTAAAAAAAGATTGGGAAATGTATTGATAAATCAATTTATTTACTCTTAGAAATCTTCAAAATCTTCAAAGCCTTTGAAATGACAACATCCACCATGAAAAGCTCACTATGACAGGGAGATGTAATGTCTTATATCTCCCAGTCTTACTAGTACTTGACCAAAGTGCCACTCTCCCTGCCATTGTTTTCCTTAGCATGTTCTATACATTAAAGTTCCAAAAGTCCACTCTTGGACAAGCTGGGTTATGTAATGTACTCCTGGATTTATGACTGTACTTGGAAAAAAAGACAAAAGCCAAATCCCTTGTAGATACATGATAGGATAAATGTTTGTGTTCCAGTTATTGGGTGAAACACTTGGTAGTAGCATCAGTAGAATTTATGAGTAATAAATAAAACTGGCTTGGATGCATTTTTAGTTTTAGAATGACTAAATAAGTATGGGTATCAGCTGGCTGTAAGAAGGGCCAAGGACAAGGTTCGGAAGAAAAATAGGGCAGGAAAAAAGCTAAACTTGCCAGACGATGAAAGAATTTTTAGAACAGATGAAAGCTAACTCTCCAAAGGATACTTTTTGAGATAATCAAAATCAAATAGCAGCGATGACAGCTGGAGATCACTAATGGGAGAAGCTGTAAGTAGAAGAGGGGATGAAAGGAGAAGAAATATAAGCTTCAAAGAAAAGAAATGATGGAGAGGATTCTCCAAACGAGGGAGGGAGGAAGAAAACGCACCTGCACAAACAGGCTCATCTATCCTCCAGATAGAACTGGTGGTGGAGGCAGATTACCAGAATGGGGCTATGACAAAGAAAAGACAAAGAAGATACACAGGAAAAGAACTATGGATTTAGATGGGAGATGAGTAAAGGTTATAAGGAGAATTCATACAGAAAGGATAAAGGAAAAGACAGAAAGAAGAAAGAGCATTGGCAGATTTCAAACTCTGGGTCTATTTCTTCGGGATACTAGGAAATGGCAAACACAGGCAATCATACTCCTTCCATTCGCATGGCAGACATTATAAGTAGATCATTGCACTATTGTCCTCTGAATACAAATTTGGCTTCAGAACCATTCTCATCACAATGCTCTAGGTATCCACTGTGGACAGATTTGACTTGCATTCCTACTATATTGAGAAACCAACCCGCCAACTAAACAGCCAGCCAAACATTCAATCAACCAACCTACCCTCAGTGGGGTTTTGGTAATACCCACTCACTGATTGAAGAGGAATAAAAAAATTATACACCAGCTAGAAAAGCAAATGATGTTTCTTTATACAGACATAATGATGTACATGTATGGATATGAGTGAATATATATGTGAAATATGAGTATTTCAAGTAGGTGGACCCAAGTATTCCATATTAATTTGTAATTTGAAACTTGGTTTTAAACATTCCCAAGTGCATGAAATTCAGCTCATTATTTACCTTGGCAACTGACATCTTTAAACCCAGTAAGATGATATGAATTACATTTTGAGTTAAAATACCACATATAAAGCAACAGCCTGTTAGAATAATCAGAGCCGTTTCCTTCCTTATTTCACTTGTGACACTATATTGGGCCCAACATCTTAAAAGGTTGGCAGAAATACCAAGTATATGGCACTTTTTAAAAATTGATTTCAGAGAGGAAGGGAGAGATAGAAACATCAATGATGAGAAAGAATCATTGATTGGCTGCTTCCTGCACGCCCCACATTGGGGATCGAGCTTGCAACCTGGGCATGTGCCGTGACTGGGAATCAAACCATGACCTCCTGGTTCATAGGTTGACGCTCAACCACTGACCCATGCCAGCCAGGATATATGGCACTTTTTAAAAGCACATGTAAATAACGCAGCATGATATAATAGCATTGATAATGACCAGGCCATGGCAACAGTAGGGGAAATGTTGGGATTTCATCAATAATGGTTTTTTAAAAACTGCATTCATTTACAGCTTGAAACTAAGTTTCAAAAAGGGAGGAAGGGTGGCGAGTGACAAGTTGCACGGGTTTCCATTTCCTTCTACAGATGCTCATTAATTTCACGCAGCTTCTGAGCATCTGAGGCCTTTGCCTATTCATGCAAAGAACCACTTGAAGGCATACAATGCCCTCATATTTTCTCCAGTCTGGGAAACATTCAGTGCTTTCTTCGAACTATTTTGTTTGAACATCCTGGCAAGTTATTCATGTTCTGCTAAATAGCGCATAATACTGTGAGGGAGGAGAGGCAGTAAGCTGCTGTTCAGAGTTTCTCCTTCTATGACTTTCTTTATGAATTAACAACAATAAGAAAAGATTCTCATTAGCCTAAGCTGGCTTAATTAAGATAGAAAGGAAAGAGAGAGAGGCATCGGTTAGGCAGAGAAGAGAGCAGCGATCTCTCAAGAATCCTTGAGCTCTAAGAGTTGTTGACTCAAATGAATTCATCATCATCACTCATGTTTCTCCAGGCTTTTTCCCTCATGGCCGGACAAGGTCCTTCATTGTGAGTCCCCTTCCTGCCTCACTGGCAGCTTAGGCATACCTTATTCTCAGCCCACCAGCTCCACTGGCCTTTCAATTCCTCCTTGCCACAGGGCCTTTGCACAAGCTGAATCTTCCTGGAATCCACTTTCCATTCCCACTGCCCTTGCTCAACTTTTATAATATTAGTCCAACTGGCTTGTAACTCCTAAGGAAAACCTACTCTGTCTCCACAAACTGGTTTAGGCACTCTTTTCTCCTCAGCGTTTATAACTATTTGTAGTTATCAATTTGTGTGATTATTTTTCTGTTGCCCACACTCAAGTGTAAGTACTGTAGGGCTATAACAGTGACTATTTGAGAGTTTGACAAATACGCACAGACCATAGGAAGAATGTATTAGGTTTAACGTAACAGACTGCTTTGCTAATATATTTATAACTGTGGCACATAATGATCTTGGAAAAAAATTGTTTCTATAATAAACCAAATATTATTTAGAAAATATAATAAAACAAAGTTATGTCCAACTGTCCTGCACACCACACTGAAGGATGGAAGTCGTGACTCTCTGCCTCCAGAGAAGAGGTTGTTACTCTAATTTCCTTCTGTTCTCTGCTTTAGAGGAACTTGAACACAGGTTATGGCTGCCAAATAAAATGTAATCAAGTCATCTTGTTTAACAAATAAACCAAGTATATGCTTTCTAGAATTTTCCATGGAAACCGGACCTTGCAGCCCGTGATCACAGCCTTGTGGGCAATAAATGGTGGAGAAACACAACTTACGTGGGCTTAGATGCCTCGGCCTGGTCCGTCTGTAGTTTCTCTCCCCCTTCCACCTCCATTGTGCAGTACACAATGCGATTGGGAGCCAAGGATTTGAGGCCTTGCACTTCCATGATCACCACCTGGAAACAATCACACAAAGTGGGAGTTATTGCCAAAGACCATGGGCAGAACCATCCAGAGGAAATATATGAATGAGAAGAAGTTACCAAAAAGCCAGCACATACCTGATGGCTTCCACTAGGTTTCTGCCAGCCATGCTGGGACCAGTCTAGCATGAAGATGTAATTCTTACTGTGTAGCTTATTGCCTCCCAGATGGAAAGACAAGCCTTACTAATTCATATGCTCATGGGGGCCAGACAGGTAATGTGAAATGGCTACTCTTTTCTATGTTAGTCACAGGATCTGTTTCCATTTCCACAAAGACATCTGCTATCTCCTATTTCTTTAAAAATAATCTAGGTTTTAATTCAGCACTTGGCAGAGACACAGGCCCATGAGTTTGCATTAGCCTTGATAGTAAGACTAAAGGCCCAGTGCATGAAATTTGTGCATGGGGGGGTGGGGTGGGAGTGGTCCCTCAGCCTGGCCTGCAACAACACCAGCATCCCTTGCCCCGGCCTCCGGCCCATGGCCCCTTCCCTGCACTCCCTCCATGTGGCCAGTGTGCGGACGCTAGGCTCGCATTGCCAGGGCAATGCCACCAGCGTCCCGCCCCAGCCACTACGGGCACCGCCATCTTTGTCGCGGAGTGATGGTTAATTTACATATCACTCTTTTATTAGATAGAATAAGTGATGATGGAAGTGCTAAGATTAAGGGCAAGTAGCATTAAGCAGTATAGTCAGAGACAAGAGGGAGTAGTGGGACTGTGGCAACTGGAGAGCACACTCCATCTAAGTGGAGCAGCTGATAGTCGTCATAGCCCTTGTGGCCTTGTCTTTCCCTGGCCCACTGTTGCCAGATACTCTCATTTTTCCTACCAGAAAATGGAAATCTGAATCAGAATCCAAGTCAGATATCTGATTTTGAAATTTTGATAAGAATTCAAAAAGGGGGGAATAAAATACCCAAACTTTGTGTAAGACAACATTGCTGGGTCAAACCAAAAACATGTCTGTGGCTGCATACACTGTTCTACTCGGAAGGAAAAGGCTAGTGTATTGATTTACAAGTCCTTCCACTTTCCACCTCTACCCTCAAACTCCTCAGTCACCTGCTGTTATTCTCCTAGTCACTGGTACGCCCTGTCACCTATCAGAGAGGGGGGAGGGAATGAGGCGAGGGCAGAGACACTGGTGTAAGAATCTGAAATCAATGGCATGCATCAGAGATCTAGAATGAGTAATGTATATTGAAAAAATCAATTATACTCTCAAAAAGGTAATGACATTACACAAGGAAGGGATGTGGGCATGCAAACACGTACACTTCTGTATGGGTTTGATTCCAGGAAGTACAATAAGGCTGGCATTGAGACAGGATTCACAAGTTAGTTTTGCTGCTAATTAGCCCAGTGGCTCTTAAACTTAGTGTGACTATAAATCACCTAGAGGGCTTGTGACACCAGAGACTACTGAGCTGCACCACCAGTTTCTGATAAGTAGGTCTGGGGTGGGGCCCAAGACTTTTAAAAATATATAGATTGTTTTTAATGATTTTAGAGAGGATGGGAGAGGGAGAGAGAGATAGAAACATCAATGATGAGAGAAAATCATTGGTCGTCTGCCTCCTGCATGCCCTGAATTGGGGATTGAGCTTGCAACCTGAGCATATGCCCTGACCAAGAATTGAACCATGACCTCCTGGTTCATAGGTCCATGCTCAACCATTGAGCCATGTTGGCTGGGCAAGACTTTTTATTTTTAACAATTTCCCTGGTAATGCTAATGTGTTGCTGCTGATCCAGGAGTCATACTCTAAGAACCATTGTACTTCTCATGTGATGTTGGGCAAGTGACTTGTTCTGGAAGTCACTCCACTTTTCTTTTCAAACACCTGAGCCTCAGTTTCCTCATCTGTAAAGTGGGCACATGTGTCCTCTCTCACTGTGGCTTTTGTGTGAGGACCAAATGATGTATGGAATTGAAAAATTTTACATGAGGAAGAATCATAGAAATGAGAAGAAATGGTAGGCACAGGAGAAAGAACACACTTTTTGGAACTTAAAAGGTCTGAGTTCAAATCCCGAATCTGCATCTTCACTAGCTGTGCAATCATTTATAAGCTCCTTAACCTCTCTGAGGCTTTGTTTCCTCATCTGCAAATGCCTCCAAAGATTGTTGTGAGGATCACTGAGTGGATAGTGGCAGAGCCCGGTCCATAGTGGCATTCTTTAAGTTCCTACAGTTTTCATCAGAGCTCCCCCTGCCCACGGCCATGCCACTCGGCCTCCCGGACCTCGGTTCTCTTGCTGCAGTTAACTGCTCTCTGGTGTCCCTTCCAGCAGGTAATTCTATAATTACATGAAATCTGTCTTGTTCCAACCTGAAAACTCAAACCCAGCCTTCCCTAATGAGATGACAGCCGTTCTCCCTCTTCTTGCCTCCTGTCTTTATGTCCCCCAAACATGCTCACAAACAGATATACAATGATTTTTGCTGGCCGTTTCGGTGTGATGTGCGATTTTGTGTTCTGATTTAAAAGCATTGGGGAGCCCTGGGGCGCTTTATTCTGTGCTTGTACTTACTGGGTAAAGCCTGTTTGAAGCATGTACGCATGTGAGGATGGCTGGGGACTCGCCTACATTGGCATTTCAGCTAATCAGCTGTATAATATTGGTAAAGAATCAGAAAATTACAGATTTAAAAGCTTCATGCAAATCAATAAAGCACGTTTTCTCCTCTCTGTAGAACGACAAGAAGCAGCCGGGAATAAATTGCCACCTCTAATTGGCAATAATCCAATTCAAAGACACCTAAGAAAAAGCGTGCAGTGCCTCAGGTAGTGGTATTAAAAAAGGAAAGAAAGGAAGTTTCTGTGAAATTACACTGATGACATTTTTCACACAACAAATGGTCTATATTTAACCGAATACTGCTTCTTTTGACAGCAAAATGCATGTCGGAAATACTGTAATGTGGCTATCTCAACACAAACTGAGCACAGGCAAATTACCTGCAGTTAATTCACAGCAAGCCTTGATGATGTTCTAAATTAATTCAGTTTTTACACATTCTAATTACATCTACAGAAATTTGATTTATTCTCTTGGTCTCCCTAAATCTAGGGCCATCATAAAATCCTGGGGGGTAGAGCTGTAATAAGATATGAATGGATCTCAAACTTGGGAGTGCATAGAAGTACCTGGGTAGCTCATTAACATGCACATTCCTGGCTTGCATTCACCTAAAGATGCTTTTTTTTCCTGATAACTTTATTGAGGCATAGTTTATATATCATATAATGAACCCATTTTAAGAGTATAAGCAATGATTTTAGCAAATTTACTATGTTGTGCAGCCATCATCATAAATTAGCTTTAGGTCCCTCATGTCCGTGTCTACCCGCTGCCTCAGGAAACACTAATTTCTTTTCTGTTTCTGGAGACCTGCCTTTTCTGGACATTTCATATCAATGAACTCAAACTACATGTGGTTGCTTGTAACTGGCTTATTTCACTAAGCATGAATGTTTTTGAGGTTCGATAAATCAAAGCATGCCCCGCCGGTGTGGCTCAATGATTGAGCATGGACCATGAACCAGGAGGTCAAGGTTTGATTCCTGGTCAGGGCACACACCCAGGTTGTGGGCTCCATGCCCAGAAGGGGGCATGCAGGAGGCAGCTGGTCAATGATTATCATCATTCATGTTTCTAACTCTCTCTCCCTCTTCCTTCCTCTCTCTGAAATCAATAAAATCATATATTTTTTAAATATCAAAGCATATATCAGTAGTTTATTCCCTTGAATTGCTGAACAGTATTCCCTTGTCTGGATGTACAAAACTTGACCCATTCCCCAGGTGATACACATTCAGACTGTTTCTGTTTGGCTCTTATGAATGATGCTGCTGTAAACTGTTGTGAGCATGTTTCTGTGGGATGTGTTTTCAGTTCTCTGGGGTAGATATCTAGGAGTAGAGTCACTGGACATACCTTGGTTTTATGTTTAACTTTTTGAGAAAACACCAAACTATTTCCAAAGTGACTGCACCACTTTAAATTCCCACCTCCTAGAGATTTGGGTCAAAAGGGTCTGCAGTCTGAACCAGCTTCTGGGAAATTCTGATGAAGCTCGATCAGATATGTCCAAACAGCAAACAGCGGAGTAGAAGTTATGGAGAAGTGTAATGACATACCGAGCATTCTACCGGAATTCTGGCCCAAATGGGTTTTTCCTTTGGGTTGTGAAGTAAACTGAAAAGGCTCCACGGAGCCAACAGGAGAGATGGTGGGAAAGACAATTTACAACTCACCACAAAATGATGCTCGATTGCTTCTCTCATAACTTCAACCCAGGTTGCCCAGACTTTAAACTTCCTAAATTGCATAGCTCTTTACAAAATCCTTGATCACTGGCTTAAGACAGTACAAGTAATGTGAGATGGGATTTAGTAAGTGGTTCTTAAGACTGCATTTCCTTGAGAAAAGCCTGGGCTCCCGGGGGCAGGGAATGGCTTGCTGATGAGCCGGCCCGTGCTCAGCAAGCAGTGCTTTTAGGAACTGCTCCTGGGGCGCAAGGAACACACAAGCTGATTGAAGGCCTCTGATCACCGCGTGCTGCTTGCTGGGCCAGGAGACTGTCAGGGCTGAGAGCTTTTTACCTCCAAGGAGAAAGCCAGCACGACGTCTGACTTGGAGAGCTGGTTCTCGCTCTCCTCGCCCAGGTCGATGATGGAAGCGTTGTGGCTGCGCTTGAGCTTCTGAAGCTTGAACTCGCCGCCCTTGGACACCGGCATGCTCTCCAAGTTGGCCATGAGCAGGTTGACGGACGACTTCAGCTCTTCGATGTACATGTTTTCCATTTCTTTGGATACAAACTTGGGGAATTTGCGTTCCTTGCAGAGAAAAAGCAAAATATGAACAGAGGAGTAAATAGGGAGCGATTTACATAGGTTTACATCTTAAAGCCCAGAGTTAGGATAGTAGCCACCACCCGGGAGCTTTGCACGTGCTAGAAAAATGTTCAGCCTAGTTGAGTAGACAGCTGCCGGCCTTCTAGTTATAATCCCTAATAGTTACAAACGGACATGAACATAGAGTAAGTAAGGGTTTATTATAGTTCTAGTCCCCCCATCCCCCCAATTTTCTCTGATTTGTGGAAAGAAAAATGGGGTAATATTTTTCAAGTCCGGATTCAGTTGAAACAGTTTTTCTTTTTAGAGAAATGCAATCAGTTGTTTTTAATTATGTTGACAGAAAGACACCTTATTTCTCGATATTTATAGAAATGTTCTCACATAAATAATTCAAAAGGAGCTCATTTAAGATGTTTCAAACGTAGCCTATGGCTATTTCTGAAAGAATAGTTACTTTTCTCAAAAAAAATTGAAAAAATTAATGAAGCAATGAAAAGCATGAGTAATATTATTTAGAAAAGAATATAAAGCAATTCAGTACCAAAACAGCCCATTTTTCACTTCCTTGCTTATGAATTCAGTTGTAACAGTAATATGCCTTAGTTGTGCTATTTATTCGTGTGTTCATGCCTCTAGGGTTGTCCAGGTGCCTTGAATATACTTTGGATTGATCACCTTCTCAAATAATAATTTCCTACTTGAAACATCAAATAGCCCTCCCTAGCCATGCTCTATAATTGATCAGGTGAGGGGCAAGACAAATCAGTTTGATAAATATTTTTTTTTTGCCAGGAACAGAAAAATCCAATTTGAATTGGCTTGAATAATAAAAGGAATCTATTGGCTTGAAAATGTCCTGGGGTAGGCCCAGCTGTAATCAGCACTCAGGTGACATCACCACAACTGAATGAGTTTTGACTCCAAATCTTGGTTTGGGTTCCTCTGGGTTGGCTCCATGCTCAATCTTGCTCCTCTTAATGTCACAAAAAGGTTGGTAAAGATCCAGACCTCACAACATCCCAACACAAAAGGAAGAGTGAATATCTCCTCTTGTAATGCCCATGGAAGATGAGAGTCTTTAATCTGAGAATTCTCTCCCAAAAAGTCTGACTTATGTATATACTGGGAACCAAAGGCCAGAAGCATGCTGTGCTGAATTGCTTAGGCATGAGTTATGTCCTCCATCCCTGAGGCTGGGGGTAGAACTCTACCTAGATCACAGGAATCTGAATAGGTTTGCCAATTCTGGGTGGCAAAAATAATATGTCTATTACATGGGCACCTGATTCAAACTCAACCAACCAATACTATTAAAAGGCCAATGATCAACCAGATTTATTCTCTCAAGCAATTGAACTGAGAGATATTGAGATTTCAGTGAGTGGTGGAGCTGAAACAGTAGATCATGTAGATTCATGAGTGGCTGCCATATTGGACCTGGTGGAAGCAGAATAAGATCCCTGGCAAAGAAGAGAGAGAAAGATGTAGAGAGAGAGGAAGAGAATGAGAAGAGGGGGAGGAAAGAGAAGAGTGGGGAATAAGCTGGCTAGAGTCACAGGAAAGGAGCTTTGACTTCCACTAGTGTAATTCCCTCAAAGTCTAGTTATTCCTTTTGCATTCTAGTTCCTTGAGAGTCTCTTATTTTGCTTTCAATAATTCCCCCTATCCCCTAGTGAGCTAGAAGGGTATGTCTTCTTTGTCACCATAAAGCTTCACTCAGATTCAAATAGTGGCTCCTTTATATAGACTCAGAGGTACATTTTTTTCTGTCAGTCTTCTTCCTACAGAAACCGTCATAAGTGTTTCCCTTTCCTCTGCCTCCCTAGGTAACTCTCAGCCTTCTTGTCACCTTCCATATTTCAGCCTCAAAACTTAACTTTCCTGGGGTTGGGTCCTTTATTGTATTTTTATTGTAATTCTTAGCTTACCTTCTTGGTAACACTTATTATAATTAATATTATAAAATTTACTTGTTCAATGTTTATATGTCCTTCTGGGCCACTAGGCAGGACCATTGAATTCTTGATATCTAGAATGATGTTTGGCACACAGTAGATATTCAATACATATGAGCTGAATAAATGAATGATGGCTTGTCAAAATGTCCATGGTAAATACCAATGCAACTAAAAATCATCATTGAGGAGCAGTTGAAGAGATGATGAACTAAATCTGGAAGAACACTGAGATTATGCTTTTCCATGTAAATGACTAAAGGATCTGAAGCCAACCCAGCAGCCATAGAGTATCAATTCCTTCTGGAACCTCTTGGTACAATTGTTTCCTGCTTTACGGTTGGGCTTAGCCCACTGTGGGGTGCTTTCTGGACATCCTGTGAGTGAATGTGAGGGGAGAAGCAGGATGGATTCTCTGAAATGAGATGATAGGCAGATGAGCTCAACAGGAGCTGTCATGACTCAATGCAAAGGTCTTATTTCTCTAAAATTTCTGCATGGTGGGCTTGATTTTCATCATTCTTGGGTTCATCAGGGCACCTCAAAAACTTGGGTACCCTTTATGGAAGGATATGGAAATGTGAGGACTTGGCTGCTGGGCCATCATCACTTAGAAAACATTTAATGCCATCAACACTGTGCCTGGTCCAATACTAGGCACAAGATGATTGTGATGTAAGGATACAGACTGTTCTCCTGGAGCTTGCAGCGAGTGGGGGGAAATACCTACGAGGAAGCATCAAAGCTGATGTGGTAATGGAAGTCTCTGAGGTGTGAATGCTTCCTGAGAGAATTAGGGTGGCTTTCCAGAGGAGGTGACCCTTGGGCTAAGAAACTGATCGACAAAGAAGAGCTTTCCACCAGGCTGAGGTGGTTGAGACAGGGCCACTGCTATTTTCTCCTTTCCATGGGAAACAGTGGGCACCATGAACCTCAGAAGGCATACATAACTGTATGTGGTCACAAAATATTTTCCATTTCCTTTTGAAGATGGCCTCTTGTGAGAGTAAAGGGAAAAATGAGGTAGGTTAATTCATAGTCTCGAAGGCTATGTTAAAGGAGGCCAAACAGCAAAGGTTACATCCTAACAGCCCGAGGGCTGTTACACTGACCTCTCTCTTTTCTCTTCATATTGGAGCACAAACCTCATAACTACCTGGGATTCTTGGACAGCTGGGTAAGTGGTATCTTTGATTTCTACTGGCAGCTGCTGGCCTTCGAGTCGCCATGGAGATAGCGAAAAAGCCATCATGTCTACGAAGTGTGTGCTTTCCTGCTAATCAACCTTGAGAGACCTCACCATCAAGTGCAGATCCTTTTATCACAAGCATCTTCTGAGACTACTCAAGGCCGTTTAACTCTACAGTCTAGTAGTTTGGGAAGAAGACCCAGTGGTCACTGACAATATCACTGGGGCCTGGAGTTAGCGTCCACCAAACTTTTATGCAGCAGAATATTGGAAAAATCCAAAGAATGACACTCCTCTCAGAAGTTGGACAGTCCTTGATGACATCGTAAAACAGGCACATAAAACGGAAGTGTGCAAGGGACAACAAGGTCATTTTCTGCCCTGAGTACTTAAGCCTTGAGAAGAAATAGCATCGTGTCGACCTAAGCTGAGGTTCTTGAGGGGAGTTTTGAGCAGCAGACCCATCACAAACACATTTCAAACCTGAAGTTGTGCCCAAATAAGGAAAACAGAGTCATCCATCTCGATTGTACTTTCCCACGCGTAAGAGTATATTAGCCTCGACGAAAGGATTGCTTTTTCATTCTGCGCTATGTAAGACAGAGCATACGGGTGAACAAAGTCTTCCAGGGAAAATGTTAGCTGGACATTTATTTTTGTTTTGGGCTGATAACATTCCTCAGTGGGGAGGCCTCCCAAGGACAGTTCCCACAGGCGAGTGTGTGCTCGGCAGCATGGAGGGATTTGGGGAACATCTTGAAAAATGGCATTTGAAAGTGCTAACAGCTGTCGGCCATTTGCTTTGCTTTTCTGCCTTTGCATTTTTACCCACAGAGGATGAAGTGGGTACGTGTAAAAGCTAACGAGTGTACTCCACTCTAGCGGATCCTGAGACCCCAAGGGCTCAAATGACATGTCCTGGCGGACAATCAGAAGAAAGGAAGTGGCAGAAGAACACTTCGTAGACGCGGGAGCTCACCAACAGTGGTGCAGTCATTCAATTCCATCTCTAGAGCGCTTCCTATCATGTGTCGGGTAGTATGGTTGCTGCTGGGGACAAAGGAGTCAGCGGTGAGGCAATGGTATGGGGGGCCATGGCAGAAAGCAAGCCATCAGACACCGTGTGACACATGAGGTAACAGAGGCATGTGCAGGGAACCATATCCCGTCCACATCAGCAAAAATGACTTCACCTTCTATGAATCTTGGGTCTGCTACTTACTAGCTGTGTGACTTTAGATAGCTTTCTCAACCTGTCTGAAATTTAGTTTCCACGTTAAAAATGGGGATATAACAAATCTCATAAAGTTATTGTGAAGAGTAAGACATAATAACTTTAATTCCTTTGACCACTGTGTGCATGTGTGTGAGTCTATATATATATATATATATATATATATATATATATAATGTATCCATTTATGTAAATGTATACACATATAGTCATACTCATATATATATTCACATACACATATGCACATATACATATGTGCATATGCATATATACATGCACATATACATATATACATACATAAAAGCATATACACATATGCAAATACACATATTCATATATGCATATCCATATACATCAGGCACCATGCTATACCAACAATGCCAACAATACCACTAATAATGATGGTGACTGTAGTAAAGGTCATGATACTAGTTGGCATTTACTGAGTGGTAACTGTACTGGGCACTAGTCTAAGAAGTTACGTTACCTGATTTAATTTGTCAAACAACCCACTGAGGCTAGTGCTATTATTTATTTCTACTTTCTGGAGGAAAACAAGGCTTAGAAGTTAAATCAGTCATTAGTAGAATTGCATTTGAAA